ACTCCATGGTAGAAACAGCATCAGCTGCTCTCTGTAATAATTTTCAGAATCTTGATGTAGCTTAAAGTTTCTGAATCTTATTATTTTTTTCTTTGTTCTTTTTTTAATCCATCCTTTTCCATTTTTCATCTTTAGAGCAACACTTTTTTCATCAATTTCATTGTCAATGACATCTTCATCATCAGAATTTTCCGTAATCTGAACGTTGTTTGTCTGTTTTTTTGATACATTATACAACGAAGCAAAATCAGCCAAACAGATATTTTTCATTTCTTCAGGCCTATTTATATACATATCAATTAAGCCTTGAACAAAAACATCTTTTGAACCAGGCTCCAGTTTCTGAAGAACCTCATCTGATTTGACCATAGAAATTCTGTTTTCGGGTCTATTCGTATTAATAAATACAGTACTTCTGCTGCTGGTTGAAAGTGGAATACTTAAAATATGATAGACAGCTTCTTGTGCTGAAATCTCACTTGAATTCAAAAATTTATTTGCAATAACTCTAAGACGTTCTCTGACTGTGTTATTACCTTTTTTTAATTCATTCAATGCTTCTCTTAGAAGCTTAGACATTCCATTTTCAGATTTGCTAATGTAGTCAACACAATACATTGAGCATGCATAAGGATCAAGAATGAATTGAATGTCCATATTTGCTTTGTGCAATGACATTATCATTGGATTGTATGCATTGATTCTGATTTCATTTGGAGCACGTTTCAAGAATACTTTCGCTTTTTTTAATCCAGCTCGAATCATTTTAATATATTCTTCTTCATTCATATCGATATGTTTCAAGAATTCATCAAAAGTTAATGAATTATCTGTATCTTTTGATATTTTGTCAAGTTCTTGAACTACATTTCGTCTTTTTTTACTTATCTCTTCACGTTCTTTCTTAGTTAACTTTTCATCGTCACTGAATGGCTCTAAAATCATCGTTTTTCTCATTGGAAAATATGGAATACCAAAGCGACATTCAATGCCATCCTTTACGTGTTTTTTACAGGTATGTGAGTGTTTATGACGTTGCAAACATATAAGGCATTCAGAAAATTCAGTTGGCTTAGCGTTAACCGAAATTAGTTTATCAATAAATTCCGTACACCTTTCGATCGATTCAGGTTTCTCTTTGTCGTATTTCGGAGCATTTTTTAACCACAGTAGAGCATGAATATGTGGCGAGCCCCGGACTTGGAATTCAACTCTGACATATTTATCTTCTAATTCATAGCCTTGAAATGGACCACAAGGTGCCGATAATATTTCCCATAAACATTTTAATCTATGTTCAAAATAACGAACGCATGTTACAGGATCATTTCTTATCAAATCACATTTCTCTTCATAGCTCATATTTTCTGCTTCCTCTAATGTTATTACTTTATTTTCCAACACTTGACTTAATATTATAATAAGTTCTGACCAATTTGTTTCTGCTGCTGATAATGTTAAAAATAGTGTTGGACATCCTAACTGTCTGATCATCGCCATAACTTCCTTTTTCTTTAGTTCCCAGAACGCTGGTGAAGATCGATCACATCTCAAGAATGTAAAAGCATCATCACTATGAATCAATCCATTGACATAATCTCGATTGAGCATTTGTGCAACAGTTATGTTTTTTGTATTTTTTGTCTTTCTCAAATTTATTGAAATAGCATCGGAGAACTTTCTCGTTTGTAGTTTCTTATATGTGAAAAACAATTTCGATATTCTACCACATCTTCGATCAAACATTCTTAATTCTGACTTGGCAATCTTAGCATAAGTTAATTTAACATTCGCTTTGATTTTTCTTTGCTTGCCACAATAAATTTTCGGAAATGTTAATTCATCGACTTTTAAATCCATTAGAATCGATATCGGCCTGTTATTCTCTCCTGGAGCAAATTTAATACCAATATCATTCTGATCACCAATCTCGTCATTTAATAATGTTTCAGTAGTACTTGGATTGACTGGTTTATCGTCACATTCATTCCATTTGTCCTCGTCATCAAAATCTTTGCTGATGTTTTCATTTTCATGGAATTTCTTATCTTCATCATCGATGATAAAATTCTCTCTCTCGTTAGAATATTCTTTCAGCCAATCATGAGATATCACAATTCCTTCATCTTTATACAGCTCTTGCTCAACCAAATATTTTACAGCAGTATGCACAACTTTTGGTCGAATTGTTTCATACATAAAAGCATTTTTATTTTTCATTTGTCTCATGAGTTTCAATTGAATCGTGTGAGTATCACTGAAACTTCTAGGCAATACTGAAACATTCGTATCAACATTCATGGGAACATTTACAAGGTTACCCTTGAGACCGAATTGTTTACAAGAACCTAAACTTCGAATAACCATAAAAGGAATTCTTGGCGATATTAATCTTTCTTCTAATTCAGTCAAGGTTTTCAAGCAATCCGGTACTTCATAGAATGCTAAACCATTAGACAGACTGAGATTAGGTACCTTATTCGACAGTATGTCCTTTCTGCAAGTGACACATAATTTAATGATTGTATTTTTGAGATAACAAACTGTATCGATAAATTCTTTTTTTAATCCTTTGTTTGTTAACATCTCAACTGTAAATTCTCTGATTGAATACTCAAACCATAAACCACCACAACAGCTGCAAATATGAGTAGGTCCTTCTTTTATTTTTGACTCATAATTTGATTTCATGCCATCAAAACTACTTTTGTAATTATCTCTACTATTGTGCATTCTTAGTGCATTTCTTCTTCTTTCTTCTTCTTTGAATTCATCATCCTGTCGTGCAATTTTTAGAGCTTCGGCTCTTCTTTTATTTTCTTCTGTTTTGAATTCATCATCTTGTCGTGCAATTTTCAGAGCTTCGGCTCTTCTTTTATTATCTTCTGTTTTGAATTCATCATCTTGTCGTTCAATTTTATGAGCTTCGGCTCTTCTTTTATTATCTTCTGTTTTGAATTCATCATCTTGTCGTTCAATTTTATGAGCTTCGGCTCTTCTTTTATTATCTTGTGTTTTGAATTCATTATCTTGTCGTGCAATTTTCAGAGCTTCAGCTCTTCTTTTATTTTCTTCTGTTTTGAATTCATCATCTTGTCGCTCAATTTTCAGAGCTTCGGCTCTTCTTTTATTTTCTTCTGTTTTGAATTCATTATTTCGTCGTTC